AAAAATCCTTTTTATTTTGGTTGGTCGCAAATCTTGAAAAAATGTTTATGTAGTTTTTTGTAAACCTATGAGTAAGCCGTTCTAGGTACTTTGCGTTCAAGTTTTAATTTTGTTTATGACAATTAGCAACCCACAGAAAGGATAAATCCATAGGATTAAAACTGAAATTATATATATAATATAAAAGATGGATTCCGTTTATTAGTGTGCTGACACGTGTACAAGAGTTTTGGGCTTCCGATTGCTTTGTGTTTTAAATTTCACGTTTTAATCTCATTTTAAAGCCCAAAATATAAACCATCATATTCTTATTGGTTTTTTATGGGTAGTAGGCCCAAAATTTACCTACCCAATCTATATGATTTAATAATAAAGACAATACATTCAACAGTTCTGTCGAGAAACCCTAATACTTGAATCACCACCACCTCTAAATCATCGCCTCTATTGATGGAAGAGATGCAGATTGATCTGCATTTTTTTCGCAGAACGATTTGTTTGCAGAACTAAAAAAGGAACGCTCGCAAGCACAATGATTCACAAAGTTTCAGATCGATTTCGGGTACATTCTCCTTCAAAATATTCAACCTCCTCTTAAATCTCTCTTTCTCCAAAAACGTATCTTTTATTCTACTTATCATTATCATCTTACAGGTTCTCTATGGCGAACTCCGAAACACCTTACTCGACACTTGGAGATCTTGAAACATATCCAACGAAGCGCGCAATCGTTGTTCGGCTTATTCGAAAATGGGAGGCACGTAATCGACGCAGAGGGAGCTGCGAGAGAATTTTTTTTAAATACAGACTAAACATTTAGTAAAGTTGCAAATTCCACATGCAAAACAATAAGATACCTTAAATGTTATCAAATCTTCGGCCAACATGTTCGTCAATTCCCTTGCATCTCTGTCAAAGATTACAAATCTTCCTTGATCAACAATGACTTCAAGCCGAAACCTGTAAGAATTTAAAATGTTTCATTTTGCAAATGAGTGTTGGAATTAACAATTGTAGTAATCCATTAAATTAAGTATTTATTCTTTACCTGACCAGACCGATAAAACTGGAATCGTCACAAAAGCGACAAATCAATTTATCATCCAACGGCTTGATTATGTTGTAGCATTTTGCGCATGAGATATTGTACCATCCATATCGAGTTATGATATTGTGGGGGTCGGATTTCACCCCTATGAGATCGATATGGCGATGAGATCAACTCCACAACGTCTTGACGAAATCAAAGCAAGTCTAC